TCAAGAAATTGTATTTTCTACAGTGTCCAATTTTATAATAAGAATTGGTCACAAGAGTCGGAATTAATTTTTAAAATTTATTATTGATATTCTTTATTATTAAATGAGAATTAATTTTCTGTATTATTAAATTTGCTGTTAAATTAGAATAGGTTTGTTTTATTATTAGAAATAACGAAATAGAGGATATTATGGTATTTCTATGGTACCTGTAATTATCAACTAATGGATTTTTGAACGTTTGCGTTATGTTTGAACCTAAGATTCGAGAATCTGAGTGGAATAGAAATTCTTTGAAATGAAGAAACTCGACTTTATGCGAGTTTATGATTACAAAAGGTGTTAAAAGAATGCCTTTTGAAGCTCGTTCATAGAATGCCTCGAGGAACAGGTACTCCTCTTTAATGACCCTTTCACGCTGTCTGACCATGGGCATTATCTACTTTAACTGCCCGTAAAGCATGTCTTCGGCCTCGCAAGGTCCGCCATTGGATTTGAGCGACTTCCAAGTGTTCCACTTTAGTAAAAAAAATAAAAAAATAAAAATAAAAGAGAGATCGATCGTATCTCAAATGTTCGGAGGAACTCCCGTACTCTAATGGGACCACTTGAATTGGGACATTTGGCAACCGTGTTACTTAAGCGTGTTTTTGACAAACCTGTTCACCGTGTATCCAACATTCTTTTAAGGATCCGGGAATACTTGACATTTACGTAAGCCTCACTTTGTCGAATTTAGAAGTGCATGTACAGTGTGTAAGAATTATTATTTATCTGTTTACTTGAAATTTGTCGTATCGAAATAGTTAGAGATATTATTATAATAATTATTGTAAAAGAAAATGTAAATTACGAAATAATTAATAATTATTATTAATAATAAATAAATAATTATTATTAATAATAAATAAATAATAATAATTAATAATTATTTTAAAATAAAATGTAAATTACGAAATTTGAATTCCACTTAGAAAATTCAGATTCGAAGTTAGAATTCCAAATTTTTAACGATTCGAACAGAAATCCTGAGCACAATGACGTACCATCGTGGAATCTGCTTTTCCTTTTTTAAAACATTTATGATTCACGAGAGAACGCGACTGGTCATTCGGAGCATCTGAATTTAAAATGTGCGGCGCGTAAATCACGTAAGGGCAGAAGGATTCGTATCTTTATGTCAACTCACGGGCAAGATGCAGAGCTTAATCCCAATCTCGTCCGCGTTCCAGCGAACTTTTATCTTAATTCGCGAATCGCTCTACGATACGCTGAATACCAACCTTCTCCCGGTGTACTCGCTTTTTGAATCGCAATCGCGACGACTTATTTCGTTAGCCCCGAGATACGACAACCGTGGAAGATATACGCGGGAGAATCTTAATAGAGAACTCGAGTTTCGTGTGAAAAATTTTAAATGCCAGCGAGATTAAAAATACATACATAGAAATATAGTCGCGAAAATTGATTCGAATTTTAAATTTATTTATTCCCTGACAGGCTTGAAGAAATTTTATCTTCATTCTGGTCATTTATTTCATCGAAAATCAGTCAATCAGCAGCTATTATTATTTAAAAATATTATTTAAAAAATTAATTACATTAATTAAAATTAATAAAAATAATTTATTTTTGAATTGTGAATAAACTCCACAGTAAAATTTGTATAATTAATATATTATTAATTAATATTTTTCCAATTATTTAAAACGATAAATTATATTATTATATTAAAAACATAGCAATTTTTTGTTAAGGTATAATACGTATAGTTACTTTCAAAATTGATTATTTCTTTTTATTTTAAAGGACAGTCTGCATTAGAAAGGATAGCGACATTGGCCAAATGAACAGAATCCAATCCAGATACCATTATTCCGACTAAAATTACGAAACCTCACATGGACCCCAGTTTTTATCGAATTCCGAAAGAAACTGACCACCTTTGTAATCAAAATTTAATAACACGTTTTCTGCACGAACCTGGTGCTCGCAAAAACAGCACAGGCGAAATTTCTCCGTTTACCAATAAAACGAAACGATGTCGGTTTTTCCAGAATCATTCGCTCTTGACCGATATAGTCGATGGCAATAAACGAGCGAAATCGTTGTTTTGCATAACTCCACACACGAGCCGTTTCCGTGATTATACAGCGGTGCTTAATGCGCTAGGGAACAGTGCCATTCGTTCGAGTAGACAAACGAGCTCTGTGGATACCTCATCGTTGCATCATTTGTAAGTGTGCAACACGAAGAACCATACCTCTTTTTAAAATATTAAATAGATAATTTTTGGTATATAGTAGATTCGTACATAATTATATAACTATAGCTGAAGAAGATGGAAAGTATTAGAGGCTTCGTGGAAGAATTTCATCCTTTGTGTAGCATATTTATAATATTATACAGATAATAATATTTGTAATAAAAAGGAAAAGGAAAAATAGAAATTGAATTAACCACTTGCGCTGGAAAGACGTGCCACGCACGTCGCAATGCTTTTGTCGCAGAATCGCCAACCACGTGGTACACACGACGTCAGGCAATTGTCACAGAAACAAGTGGACCCTTCTGGCACACGCGTCTGTGAATTTCTTGCCAGCACAAGTGGTTAAGAATTTTTGTCAGAATTTGGAATTGGGAAGTTCGAAAGTTTAGAAAATAGTAACAATTAAGTTACTAAAGTTGTGATACCTTTTTGTCTCTGGTAATCTGAGATTCAATCTCACTGGAAAGATTTCTCCTCTTGAAAGGGAAGAACCCTGTACCCTGTCAAAAATTGTCAATAATATTCCAAACACACGGCAAGACAAGAGAAAATATTCTGAAAATTGTGTCTAATTAAAAAACTGAAGAATATAAAATTTCAAAAATATTCCACAATCGTGTTTAACACTGGAACAATGCACCTACAACGAATAGCTAAATATGTAATACACAAACGATAATAATCGAAGTGATGCGATGAAGATAAATAGATAGATTTAATCACGTTGCTATTCGAATAAAAGTGAAAATTAATTTCCACCAAAGCACCTGTATTTTCTCAGAAAATGTAAATTTTAAACACAAGAAACAAGTCATTTTGATGTCTTTGGTAGTTCTAGTGTTAAATCCAGTTATTAAGAATTCCTAAGTACTTATCAATTATGATCTAACACCGAAAGGATCCACATAGGTGTCTAATATTTTTCCAATTAAGGTTATGCGTCTTACGGGAAAATTTGCGAAAGACCTTAATTTTCTAGACGTGCTCGAGTCATCAATTTGGACGAAACTGTGAAGAAAGGAGACATTTGCGAGAGGGACTTCACGCGTGGGCAAGTAAAACGGGATAAAGGGTCATTAGCGAGCAGGGGATTATTTAGACAGCCCGCGATTGCATCGCGACACTAGCGCAACATGGCCGCCGAGCGCTCCATTATCCGTGACCACGGACGCACGAGCGAGCTTTGTTTCGACTCTCTTATAAATTACGACACTTCCTAACGTAACAGTGGCGGGGACCACGCCTCTTCTCTCTTAAACGAGCTCCTTTTTCTTGCCAAATTAATTTCCTCCCTTCCAACTGGACTTACGTGTTCAATCTCGATTATACGAATTCCGAGTTAACGCGTTGCAGAGGTATTCTAAATGGCTGCCTGATTGTCGGAGGAAGGAGGCGATTGAGATTGCGACGATGAATGAATCTGTAATGGTCTAAGGTTCTTCGGTATTTGGAAATTGTGTCGCATTGGGAATGTCAAGAGTTAATGGAACACAGAATGATATAAACCGAGATGGAAGTTGCGATATAGCTTACTATTTCGTAATTGGAGTGTAGGAAAAATTGAGTTACATTTCGTAATCTGGTGAGAGTTAATTGGGCGTAGGGAATTGCTAATTTCCCTCGATAATCTGCGATTTCGTTGAAAGATTAATGCAGGATTAGGATTTCTGGAAATTAATAACACAGGCATATATTTTAATTTGGAAAGAATAGTGTGGTACGATTCGTGATTTATGGAAGATGTTTGAAAGCCAAGAGTTTTATAAGAATTAAGGGAGATATATGAAAAATTTGAAATGAGAGTAGAATTCTATTAATTCTAACCTCAAAGAAATCGTAATCTATATAGAAACTTAACACAATTGAGACTAACTAACCTCTTAGCTATTAATGATACACTTATTCTAACCTAAAAGAATACACGGGCCATGTTAGATCCTCGAAAAGGTTAATAACTGAAACCTAACCTAAAAGTACACAAATTGCGTCCCAAATTTAAGAACTACAGAGGATTCTCGTCTTTAGAACCAAAGGATGCATGTCACGATCTACAGACAATTGAAACCTAACCTAACCTAAATGTAGGCAAATAACCCAAAAATAGGTAATCTAAACTTCTTCCAGTTCCAAATATCCAATCCATAATACATATAGGAGCTCTAAAAGTCCTTTAGTCCTTATCTCCTCAGATACCAAAAACCAAACCTAACCTAAAATACAGAAGATGTATCTCAAACCTAAATTGTCACTTCCAAAACTCGAAGAACATAACCTAAAATTCAGTTTAACTTACGATCCAAGTAAAATACCCAAGAGCCAACGACCCAAGCACACGATTGAATGAAAATCCCCAGAACCACGAACCCAACTCTGTCTCTCGACACTCGATCACCCGATCCATCCGCGGTCTCGGCGCTCGCCGCGAGTCCTCGCGGCCGACCGGAAGTGGCCGCAAGACACCGAGCATCCTTTCGCCGGCACGTGGACGAGCGTCTCGCCGTCTCGCCCTCTCGTCCTCTCTGCTACTCGAGGAAGACGTGGAGAGGAACCGTGCAGGTGGGGGCGTGAATACGGCGAACGCAGTAGGAGGACGAGGGCTTTTGCCCGGAACGAAAGACGCGCCGCGGGTGGGAGATAGATATAAGGGCATCGTCTCGGAATAACGGCTATCAGTGAGTATCGCGCTGTTTTCGCATACACCGGGAACACACGGGACGCAGCATCGAGCAGAATGCCGAAGGTACGACGGCCGGAAACCGCGGGGAACCACTCTTGTGCGCGCGTGACACCGTGCTTGAGTTTATCGAGTTTTTGGAACTTCTTTCAACGAGTTTTTGATTTTTTTTTCTTCTTTGGTTTCGGAATCTATTTCATTATGTTTTGTACATCGCGGAGTTTAATTTTGGAATTTTCTCTTACGGGTTTTTGATATTTTGCCGTTGTTTTTGGAATATATTTTACTTTAAGTTCGTACCCTGTTGAGTTCTTCTTTGGAATTTTGTCGAACGAGCTTTTGATAATTTTCTCTCCTATGTTTTTGGAATAGATTTTAATTTTGTTTTGTACACTGCAAAGTTTAATTTCGAAATTTTCTTTCACGGGATTTTGATATATTTTCCCGTTGTTTTTGGAATATATTTTGATTTAAGTTAGTACCCTGTTGAGTTCTTCTTTGGAATTTTGTCCAATGAGTTTTTGATAATTTTCTCTCCTATGTTTTTGGAATAGATTTTAATTTAATTTTGTACACCGTAAGGTTTTACTTTGGAACTTTTGCCAATGTGTTTTTGATTCTTCTTCTTTCACGTTTATAAAATATATTTTAGTTTAGTTTCGTATATCGGTTGGGTATATTGGCTCGGTATGTGGGTGATAATACGTTGAGTTCAGAAGGGAAGTTCGTGTGTATTCTTGGGACAAGTTAGATGAGGAGGTTAGGGTGTTGGTTAGGATGTTTTCGCGAGGATATCTGGGATACAGGTGTTGTTTTATAGGTAGTCGGATCGTGCTGGCTGCCTAAGCTTTGGTCGTTATTGAGATTATTTTTGAGAGGCTTCGAAGAAAGAAGATTATAACGAAGGTCTGGCATAATATTACTTACTATTTCTGAAAATGTATTCAAGCTTTCGAATTTTTCAAAAATTCCTATATCTAATTCAACACCAATTCTTGTACATTAATATATCAAGAATTATTATTCTGATAGTACACAATTCAATAATCCTTTACCTTTTACTAACGTCATAAAAGAAAATTCATTCTTATTTTATCAATACTCTCCAAGAAGAAAGGAAAACATTCTTAAAAAAAGATAATTTTATAAATATTTCCTGCATAGAAGAAATATACAAAAACGTCTAAAAAAACACAAAAAAATACTCTCCTTTACCTCGAAATAATTTCAAAAAATATTAATTCAGAATACACATTTCCCATCTATCAAAAATATTGGAAAAACCACTAAAAGAAATACTCTAATCTTCCAAAAAATAATTACAAAAAATACTTCCAAAGATCAAAATATATTAAGTAAAAAGACACACTTCCTAGGGAAAATAAATGTCCCTAGATTGAAATACCTCCTTAATGCACACTTTTCTGCATCACACGAGCAATTAGAAAAAGAAACGATTAATCTTCCAAATTATAATAGAAAGAAAAAGAGTTTAAAAAATTTCGAGTTTAAAACGTTCTCCAAAAATTCCTCAGAGGTTCTCTTCTCAGAGGATAAAGACACGAAATTGCGCCCGAATAAAGGACTCCGTCCTTCGATCGCGTTTCCAAGGAACGACGACCTCTGGAAAGATCGGTCCACCGCGGTACCAAGAGTCATCAGCTTCGTTCTTTTGCCGACAGACGATATCTTCTGCGGCCTGTGATCCACACGCGGTACACGGAAGCGGCGTGGCCACTTCCGTGTGGATTCGTATTAGTTTACGGAGCAAGGTCGGCCGAGAAAGTGAAAAAGGACACTTTTCTCGGGGTGGGAAGACTCCGTGAAGCGACACGAAAGATGAAACACGAGAAACTTTCTCGCCACTGATGACTTTCCAAGTTTCCCGTACGTCGAACTTCCTTCCGCCGAAAAACGTTTAATGACCCTGGCACTTTTGAGATTATCCCTTAACGACTTGGTTATTGCAAACGAAAATTGTCGTTTGAGGGAGAGTTATTCGTTAGATGTTGTATTAATCTTATCGAGCTTTAGATTCAGCTTGGTCTGTCCTCTGTTCGCAATCGTTGATTAATTATTCGAATTTGGGGGTTTAATTGGGTTTGTGAATTAGGGTTAAGAGTTAAGGGTTGGTATTGATTCGTTAATTTAATTTCTTTATTAGCAATTTAATTTCTTAAGTACGGTGGTTACTGTGGTATAATAATTAATATAATATTGGGAAATGTGGAATTTGAGGTTATTGGTTGGCCCAAGTTAAGGTTAAGTTTAGGTTAGGATTTGGAAGAGATTTTAGGTGGATTCTGAACTTTATATTAACCGTGTAATGGCGTCTTGAAGTTATGTCATTATTAGGTTAGAGGTCCATTTTGAGTTAGGTTGTTTTCAAGAATTGCAAACTATACAGGACAGGAGCATTGTTAAAACAGATAGTCTGATTTTTATATTTCAATCAATTTAGTAATAATTAATTTAATTAATTCAATTTAATTTAATTCGATTTTATAAATTCACATTTTGTGCAAGAATTCAAGAATATCCTCCTTACTTAATTTCTTATTATTATTATAAATTATTATTAATGTGGATATAATTATAATTTATTAAATTTATTTTAATCAATATACTCGAATTTCCTTTAAAAATTGTTGAAAGGTATTCCAAATTTTTCTGAATATTTTATAATATGTGAATAATTCTTTAACTATTCTTAATTTCAAAATTATTAAAATAATTGGTAGACTATGTCATGAATATGGTAAACGATATGATCCATACTTTTTCCAAGTTTTCAAAAATCGATGTAATATTAAATGGGTTATATTTCTCGTAACAGAAGATCCCTATTGCGAAAGTTAGCTCGCATCTTTCATATTAAAACGTTCGCCATAATCCTGTACGTGTAACGAGTTTTGTGACATATTCTCCGTTCGTGTGGAGCATTTTGAAGAAGCTTTCGAACGAGAAATCTCGTTCGATGGAACATCCACTTTCTTATTTGGTGCAATACGCGAGTTGCGTCCGAAAATTCTGCTAAAAATTTGTCGAAGTCAGGGAATCACTATCGAGGAAGCTTCCTATGCTTATTGAAAGTTTCCCGAATCCGAGAAGTTAGGTAGCAAGCGACGATTCGCAAGCAAATGCATCGACAACTTTTCTAGGTTAGGTCACCCTGTAGAATCTACGATAAAATCGTGCGTTGCAACCATAATAGAACCTGGGACTTCCTATTTCCAATAATTCTCAAAAATTCAATTTGTAACGAGAGGAAAATGATATATGTACTCTGAAATCGAAGTAAATAATTTAAATTAATTATATTGTAAAAAATAACCTAATATTATTTCTAAGAAAAATAATTTTGGAGGAAAATAAGCCTCATTAATAATTTGTAACGCGAGGAAAATGATATATGTACTCTGAAATCGAAGTAAATAATTTAAATTAATTATATCGTAAAAAATAACCTAATATTATTTCTAAAAAAAGAAATTTTGGAGGAAAATAAGCCTCATTAGATTCCCTGTGATTCAGAAAGAAATAATTTTAATTATCAAATTTCGAAGTATAGGAAAATAAATATTTTCTATTTCTAATTATTTCGAAGAAAAACTTCCACCAATTCCAAAGAAACTTTTAGAAATTTACAAAAGAGGAAATTTCAAAGGAAAATAAGGTTCTTTAGATGTCACTGGGATCCAAAAATAAATAATGTTAATTATCAAATTTCGAAGTATAGGAAACTAAATATTTTCTATTTCTAATTATTCCGAAGAAAAACTTTTACCAATTCCAAAGAAATTTTTAGAAATATCGAAGATCATTTTACATTCCCAAAAAACACTAAAAACAGTATTTCAATACATTTTTAAATGACGATAAAATTATTTTATATATTTTTCTCTGTAGCTATGAACAAGTACCCAGGAAAATTTACAAAATTTTAAGAAAATATAATGAAATGTGATGACACTATTTTATAACTCGATTGCTAAATCATTGCGAATTATAGTTTCAGATTCTATACTTGTGCGCAACGTTCGCGTTCTGTCACGCGGTGGTCTTAAGTGGCTATAATGGCGGCCATGGGATCTCGTACGCGGATTACGAGGGTCTCGAAGGATACGCAGGATCAGCTGCTCAATACGAAGGACACGCGGTGTTACCCACAGTGGCAGTTCCGGTTCACGCGGTTTCCGCCGCGCCTGTGCACGTCGCAGCGGCCCTCGATCATGGATCTCATGGATACGATCATCACGCCGATCATGATCACGATTACTACGTAAGTGACCATTACTATATCTCAATTTTCGAGTATCGATTTTCACGAGTTCTCGTTTATAGAAAAATATTCATTAACTATTTAATTAAATATTCTTACAAAAGGATCCGAGGTTTCCTATTTAATAATTCATTAACTATTATTAAATCGTTCCACCAAAGTGAAATAAATTATTTATCGATTAATCGATCTACGAATATCGTGGGAGAGAAAGCGATCTATGATCGACAAACTGCAAATTGTATAATAACATAAATAAATATAAATAAATTGGCAATTAAGATCGTATTACCAGAGGTGGACTAAAAAATCTAAAGGTAATCGAAATTGCGGGATTAGATATTAATCGTCGCTTCGAATTGGAAATTTTCACGTTTGTAGAAAAATATTCATTAATTATTTAATTAAATATTTTTACAAAAAGATTCGAGATTTCCTATTTAATAATTTATTAATTATTATTAGATCGTTCCACTAAAATGAAATAAATTATTTATCGAATATCACGGGACAGAAAGCGATCTATGATCGACAAACTGCAAATTGCATAATAATATAAATAAATATAAATAAATTGTCAATTAAGATCGTATTACCAGAGGTGGACTGAAAAATCTGCAGGAAATCGAAATTGCGAGATTAGATATTAATCGTCGCTTCGAATTGGAAATTTTCACGTTTGTAGAAAAATATTCATTAACTATTCAAATAAATATTTTTACAAAAAGATTCGAGGTTTCCTATTTAATAATTTATTAATGATTATTAAATCGTTCCACCAAATTGAAATAAATTATTTATCGATTAATCGATCTACGAATATCGTGGGGCAGAAAGCGATCTATGATCGACAAACTGCAAATTGTATAATAACATAAATAAATATAAATAAATTGGCAATTAAGATCGTATTACCAGAGGTGGACTGAAAAAGCTGAAGGAAATCGAAATTGCGGGATTAGCGATTGCAATCATCGAGATTAGATATTAATCGTCGTTAATTCGAATTGGGAATGGCGTGTCGAGTCGTAAATAGTTCGGAGCAGTAGGTGTGACGCCTCGCCTAAGCGTCGATTGAAATTCCTAGCTGTGAAAAGTGGCGCTTGGCATAAGAACACCTTCCGCGACGTATCTCATTGTCGCGGTTGTTTCCGCGACGCTTTCTCGCGACGCGTCGCGACGGCCGCTCGTTAGAGATCGCCTGAATGTCCCCTGAGGTTCTATAGCTTCTACGTGATCGTCGCGATGGAAAATCGGTTACGAAATTTCGGCCCCGAGTGTGCTTCGACTTCTTCCTATCAATTTCCGTCTTCGAATTTTAATTTTTAGTCGGGTCAGGTTAGTAATAAATTTTGAGAATATCGTTATGATAAATATCGAGTGGAAATTGTGTTGACGATTAACGTTAATTCGTAGGAGAGGAATTATTATATCAATAATCGTCGAAAATTAATTTCAGCTATTAAAGTGGAATTGTTAATAATTTCCTGAGGATTAAATTTATTTTAAAATGGAAGCTTGGAATTTTAGTAATTACTGGCAATTAATTAAAACGGAATGATTAATAATTTATTTCTAAATTTTATCAGATATTCTATAAAGCTTGGAATTCCTGAAGCTGAAGAATTTTAAAATTAATAATTTATTTTATAATGGAAGCTTGGAATTTTAGTAACCACTGGTATTTAATTAAAGCGGAATTATTAATAATTTATTTCTTAATTTTATCAGATATTTTATAAAGCTTGGAATTCCAGAAGTTGAAGAATTCTAAAATTAATAATTTATTTTATAATGGAAGCTTGGAATTCTAGTAACCACTGGTAATTAATTAAAGCGGAATTATTAATAATTTATTGCAGACTAGATTTATTCCAAAATGGAAGCTTGGAAGTTCAGCAATCACTGGTAACTAATTAAAGTGGAATAGTTAATAATTAAACCAAATTTATTCCATAATTTTATCAAATATTCTACAATGGCAGCTCGGAACTTCCAAAGCTTAAGAATTCCAAAACAAAACTATTTAAAAACCATCGACACCTAATAGCTAGTCATCACACTTCACCAAAAAATTACTTACCAAAAAATTACTCACTAGAAAATCTCAAACTCTCGCAAATAATTAAAACTTAGAAAAAAAAAATAAAAGAGACACTAAATCGATTCACGATAATTAAGAATACACGTTTGCCTTACAGGCCCATCCAAAATACACGTTCAACTATGGCGTGCATGACCCTCACACGGGAGACGTGAAGACCCAGCACGAAGTTCGCGATGGCGACGTGGTCCACGGGTCTTATAGCGTGAATGAGCCTGACGGAAGCGTGAGGATCGTGGAGTACACAGCTGACGACCATAATGGCTTCAACGCGGTGGTGAAGAAGGTCGGACCAGCAGTGCATCCGAAACCCATCTCGGTAGCCAAATACGTGTCGCCAGCTTATTACAACAGCTACGAGGAATACGAAAAGCACCACTACTAAAGCACGATTCACCCTTGCACTCGAGAGTCGCCTCTTGGTCGCCATTTGCTCGATGACGAATGGCGGCTGAGTGCCTCCGATAATCGTTGCTCTGTTCCCTCTAATAGCTGACTGTCTGACTATATATAGTAGTACCGTATAACGTTACAGTGTGTAATAGTACCGGTACTATATACAATACACTGAAGTGTAATTATGCTAGCGAGACATTAGTATAATTCTGCTGAAAATATCATACGAATGATATCGGTATAATACAACTAAAAATAGGATACTAGTAATATGTTAGTGATATGATATACTGAAAGTAGTATGCTAGTAATATTAGTATAATACTACTGATGTACAATGGTAGTTGTTATACTACTATACTGGTGATACTAGTACGATATTGCTAATGTAACAGTAGTTATTGTACTGTTATGATGGTAATACTAGGATGATGATACTAAGGTAATAATAGATATTACGATACTATACTGGTACTATTAGTACAATATCATAACACGAGTAATATTAGTATGATACTACTGAGGGTGGTATTAAACTAGTATTATACTACTGAAGGCCTAAATGGAAAAGTGATAAGTCTGGAAGGAAGAAGTTTCCCTTGCTGGAAAAGACTTTCGAGTGCTAAGGGTGAGTCGTGTGCTTATTGTCCGAGTGATGAAGAAAGGGAAGAAAAATAGAAACAGGGTCGGAGAGAATTTATTTAAGCGAAACACGTCGATGGTCGATGAAAGTATGTCGATATTGACTCGAGAGTCGTCCACGTGTCGAAACGTGAAAATTTCATTGAATTTCCAATTTTCATTTTTCTCGAGATTAATTGTTCCGTTTGTTATACTTTGTGATACATTGCTTTCGAGTGCGTGAAAATTTCGTTTAATTTCCAATTTTTATTTTTACTCGTTTGGTGTACATTGTTTCGTGGGTATGTTCGTAGAAAGAACATTGGTACTGGGTATTATTCGGGTGATAGTCCAGAAAGGCTATCATTGATGAATGAAATGAAGAATGGTTTACCGTAACTTATTACTTGAGGTGCTTCGAGATGGAAAGTGTGCCAGAAAATGGAGAAATGGTGGGTTACTAATTGTAGAAGGTACAGAAATATGATAAGGAAATACACGATGAATCCATTTTTTAAAAGGAGTACTTTATGAAAATACCTTAAGAATTTAATTAATTGTGAGATAATTGATGAATGTTTCAGAAATATTATTTAGATTTCAAAATTCAAGATTTGAAGGTTTAGAACTCTCAAATTAGAAATTTCAAAGTTCAGAATTCATAAATTAAGCATTTTTAAGTGTAGAATTCTCAAATGATGAATTCTAAAATTTAGAATTTCAAAATTCAAGATTTTAAGGTTTAAAACTTTCAAATTAGAAATTCCAAAGTTCAGAATTCATAAATTAAGAATTTTAAACTATAGAATTCTCAAATTATGAATTCTATAATTTAGAATTTCCAAATTGAGAATTCCAAAGCTTAGAATTCCTAAATAGAAGATTTTATAGCGCAGAATTCCCAAACTGTGAATTCTAAAATTCAATCTTTCCAACTTGAGAATTCCAAAGCTTAAAATTCCTAAATAAAGAATTCTAAACCACAGAATTCCCAAATTATACATTCTCAAATTTAGAGCTTCCAAATTTAAAGTTCCAAAGTTTAGAATTCTCAAACAGAAAATTTTTAAATCCAAAATCCTCGGATAATCAATTCCAAAATTTAGAATTTCTAAACCTAATCTAATTTCGAATTGTATTCTTCCTGTAAAATAACCTAACACACACACTCAACCGCTACATATGTAAATAAGGTTCTTTAAGTCTGTGTACTCAATAAAATCGTACCAATTTCGTAAAAATCATTTTCCCTTTCATTATCTGATGGACAATACTTTTCCTCTAATCTCAGCTACAATTGTTTGCGTGTCTAATTATCTTCTCGGGTAATTAAAAATGCAGACGAGATCGTGAGGCGAGTTAACTCGTTTCAGTGGTCGCCCCTGGGGCCCCGGCTTATAAGAAAAGATCACAATGGCTCGTTAACGTTCGATAGACTTAAATGGGTCTCTTAATGAAACGAGTTAATCGTTTCCTTGAATCCAATTTCCAAACAAAAAATCCTCCATATCCCCTCCATTCGAAGAAGATACAAAAATAAAATCTCCAAATTAACAGAATATTAACCCTTTGCACTCGACGATTTTTTGGCTAGAGAAGAGTAGAAAATCAAAGATTCTCTACTAAAAAACTGACAATACTTTTTTGAGCAGTAAATAAAGAATTGTAAAATTATTGCTGGCCCACGCATACTGTTACATTACATTAAATTTGATATATTCATTAATATCGATTTTCCAAATTTTATGAAATGGTGACTGAAGCTCACCTCTCGAGTGCAAAGGGTTAATATTCCAATTACCAAATAACCACGAATCTATACAAAAGAAATATACAGTTCCATTCTCCATACTAAATATAAAAATTTCGAAAATTAATCCTTTCCCGCTTTATCTGAAGAAAAAAAGAAATCCATCTTTCAATTTACAAATAAAAGATTTTCCCCTTTATCCATTCCACTTAAAAAAAGGATATAAAACGAGAATAAAAGATTCGAATCTCGTGAAAATGAATATTCTAATCCACACGTAGCCGTGAATCCACGCGAATGATAACCTCTTCACCGATCGAGATAAACTTCGCTGAAACGGATCTTCTCAGAAGCGAGACAAAGGAAAAAGGGGAGAAGAAACGCGAAAAAGCCAGACATCGTTCGAGGAATCAAATACTCGAGGTGTTTTATTACACCGATCGTTTACTTCGTCTTTAATTAATTTCAAACTCGCGGTACTCGGCATTGCGCGCTCCCCCGACTGCAGCGCCACTTCCTTCCCGCGGCCGATCGCTTATCTAGTGTTCCTTGCGTCCGTGGTCTTTCCCTTCCACGAAATTCTGCTGGCTCTAAGCACCTTTGTGTATACCGCGCGCTCGTGTGTTTACGTTTCTACGTCGTTGGCCACGGTGTTATTCATCGACGTGCAAACGAGTATTCTAATTGTGAGTTTTCTCAGACGGAAGTGAACGAAACTGGAAGTCGGAACGCGGTTAACGATTCCCGCGTGCTGCGTTCCTTTGTTATCGCTGATCGCTATTTGCAGCTCCATGGAATCGTTTTTGCATCGTTTCACGTGGTTTCTTTATCGGCCAGTGTTTCTGGATTATTTTTATACCGAGTTAATTACGAGTAATTGTTTTCTTTTAATTTATAACTTGAGCTTGAGCTGTTACTTCATTTTTAATTAAGTACTTGTAATTGTTTGTATTCAGTATACTCTATGGTAATACCTGTGTTATCTCGCATTTAATATTAGACACCTAATTGTTTGTAATTATGGAAATTTTATGTGGCCTTAAGTAATACTTGCTGTTATTTAAATTTTAATTATGTAGATTTAGTATGACTAAGTATTATGAAGTATTTAATAATTAAAATATAATTATTTGTTGCATATTCTATTTTAATTTACTAGATTCTTATTTACTTTCTTTCAGTATTATATGAGCTCTCTAATAGCCTGTCATCTTTATAGTCCCTATATATAGTCTCTGTAGCTTCTTATTCCCTATTCTCTTATATTTATCTATAATTATTTGTTACATATTCTATTTTAATTTACTAGGTTCTTATTCACTTTCTTTCAGTATTATATGAGCTCTCTAATAGCCTGTCATCTTTATAGTCTATGTATATAGTCCCAGTAGTTTCTTATTCCCTATTCTGTTATATTTATCTATAATTGTTTGTTACATATTCTATTTTAATTTACTAGGTTCTTATTCACTTTCTTTCAGTATTATATGAGATCTCTAATAGCCTGTCATTTTTATAGTCTCTATATATAGACCCTGTAGCTTGTTATTCCCTATTCTTTTATATTTATCTATAATTGTTTGTTACATATTCTATTTAATTTACTAGGTTCTTATTCACTTTCTTTCAGTATTATATGAGATCTCTAATAGCCTGTCATCTTTATAGACCCTGCAGCTTCTTATTCCCTATTCTCTTATATTTATCTATATGTATTATAATAATGGCTTATAATTTTCTATTATAATAATGTAATAAAAATCACACATAAATATATCTTCAAATAAAAGGCATGCAAGTAAGAACAAGGAAAACGTGCAGAAGCTAATGACTCACCCATGATTCCTTGAAGATTTTGTTGGCAATGATGCTGGTGCTGTCGAACATGTCCACCCCTGGACCAGAGGCGAAGCACATTTCCTTTTTCCCAGGGCAAGTGTACTGTTCCGAGCATGTGCTCCCGGAAAATTCGCATTTCGGTCCACGTGTGTTCGGTGAAACGTCGCCGAGGTTGCTGGAGGCGAAGGCTGCCACGAATGGACCCTGTATACAAGCAACTTGCGTTACAACTCTCCACGAAACTCGCAATGAAACTCTTGCTTTACACTCACACCATTGTTTCCACTCACGAGGTCAAGAGGAAAGAAATAAATTGCCAATTTACGTCGCGACGTTATACAAATTATACATAAATTAATCGAATGTCTTATAATTATATACAAGAATGCAAAGAATAATCGCGATTGTTAATTTTATTTTGAAAAATAACATTTCCTTACAGCGTCTGACTGAGGGACGACGTTTATAGCTCGACATTTCGAGGCAAACTGAGACGTCTGTCCTCGAACACAATTCGTTCTATGCTACTGTGTTTACAATTTGGCTCTGCGTCGATTTTCAAGGTTTCTCTTAATATCCTTTGTATAACATTCTTGACAGGAATATTATCACAGCTTTACGAATAATATTTTTAATACAGATATTTCGTTGTTACATTGGTTACAAAATTTTCAATCATTACACACTTGTAATATTTATTTCATATCTATTAACAACACAAGCTTCACTTAAAATAAACTTATAATAATAATACTGTAATTAATAACAATTATTATTTGTCATCAAAATTTTCTTATCCCCATTTTTATTAAACATCAGTCACACTATTTTGAGACATTTAACATTCCCAAATTTTAAGAATGCTTTATACTAAATATCAAATTATCAATAAATTAAAAATTAATTAAGAAGATTGCTTACCTTGCCAACCAACGAGTCACTGTCCACGGTTTTCTCAAACAGAATAGATGCGTAACCAACGTTGTCACTGGAGACCAGGTGATTAGTATTATTCATACTAGTCGGATGGACGGCGAACCAATTGATAACCCCCAGGGGTTTGTCGTCTGCTGCGATAAACTGCAATTGCGTGAGGTCCTTGTCCACTGGATACATATACCTGCGAATGAAGGAAATAAATTGTATTATCGAAAGGAAATGAAATAAAGAAATTTATTTGATAAAATGAATAGAAATATTTACCTGTCTCTTTCCCCCTTTGGATTGTTTAAATAAGCAGATGGGCTTCTGTTAATATTGGCACCAATGACTTCCCCGTGGCCGATGAAAATTCGACCTGGGACCATGGTAGCATGAGCACGCTCGATACTCTGAAAAATTTATCAAAAATTAATATCATCGACTTTCCTTATTCTTTCCTTTCTTTCTTAATTTATAATATAGAATTATAATTAATTATAACTATAAAATTATATAATATAGAATTACAGTGGGTTCTTTTAAAAGATTTATCAGAGAAGTAAAATGGGAAAATATTAATTTAGTATTTAATATATTTAGTATTTAATATATTTAGTATTTAATTTAGTATTTAGTAGTTAAAAATTGTTATTAAAAATTACCTTCGTTATTCCATTAACCATGGCGTCGAATGTTTCTTTAACAAAGCCAAATGTTGTGATATCGAATAATGTGTGGAGCATGTATCCACCAGGAGTAGAATGCGAATGTGTCGCACTAATCATCACGTTCTTCTCCGTGTACAAATTGCCAAACTGTTTCTGCAGATTCTGCAGCACCTGGAACAACGAACATACATCATCAGAAAAACGAGTTTTTACATTTTCCTCGGAGTACGAAATTTGAAAATTCTACACTTGGAATCCTCCTGGCAAATAAACAGGTAACATGATTTTCTCTGACCTGTCTTTGAATTTTTCAAGTTTGATATCGAGAAATTTAAAAATTAAATATATAGAAATGAAACTACATAAACTACAATAGTAATTAAATTTCAATGATATTTCGAAAGCAACAGTTTCCAAATTCTTTTATAACGGAGTTGGAAAATTCTATATTAATCGTGGATTAATTAGGATTAATTTATTATTTAAATTTCGTTAATTTTATAACAGTGGGTATTAATTTTCATGTTAATCGATATTGCGATATTTTCAAAAAAGTAATTAAAATAAGTAATATTTTTCTTCAATAAAAATTCTAAAACTTCATATCCCAGAAGCAACGAAGCTTTACTTTTTAATTATTTCACGAACATAAGAGTGAAATAATTATTCAATTAAAAAACTTACACTTAGAAATCACGATGCAAAGAATTATTAGTCACACTGTATTTTAACTCTATGATTTATCAAAAAAGTAATCGAGATAAGCAATTAGCAAATTACATTACACACTTCTCCGAGAAAAATTCTAAAAGTTCAAATCGGAGAAGCACCGAAGCTTTACTTTTTAATTATTTCAATATAAGAGTGAAATAATTTTTCAATAAGGAAAACTATACTTAAAAACCACGATCCAAAAAGTCATTAATTTAACTCATACCGTTATCTCAAGAATTATCGTTTAAATATATACAATTAAACAATGCTGTTTATCTACAACGCCATCTTCAATTAGTAAATAGTAGATAAACCGAAGAAAGATGGCGTGGATAAATGCGATTAATCAAATAGCGGTTAAGGTCTGCGAAGATTCGATCGAGATCGTGTTCAAGGAAGGATGGAAAATTTGGATCGTGTTTTACAATCGTGAGAAAAGTGGTTGCGAATTATTACCGATTGGCGAACCCCGTTTCCTATCATGGCGCTGTCCACGCTGACGAAGACGAACCTCTCCTCGCCATCGTCGATGATGAATGCGCGGGAGAATGTTCGTAGATGGAGCCCTGATCCCTTCTGATCGATCTTCGCGTAGCCCATCTAGAAAACAAACAACCCGCGTGATCCGCCATTAGAATACCGCGAACAGGATCCCACGTTTCTTTTGTCGACTCTTTATTTTGTTGTAGGTTTGTTTGATAATTTTCTTTCACAAATAAAAGTAGAAAAGAAAAATAAAAAAAAAATTAGAAAAGAAAATTAGAAAAGAAAAAATATGTTAGGGATGTTAATATTATTTCTTTACTCTTAAAAATTTATGGAAATTTTTAAATAATTATCAACATTACAACCACCAATCCAGTCAAAGTGACAGGTCTCAGAATTTTCCTACTTGCAATAACTAAAAATACATAATTGCTTCTAAAATAATTAATATTGAGATCCAGATGAGACTGTAATTCATACATGCACTTAATTTCATTTTAGTACCACTAAAATTACTATAAAATTAATTACTATACTACTACACTTACTACTATAAATTACTATAAAATTACTATAATCTATGCACGCTATGTTTAGCAACCCACCGAAGATCGGTAATCCTAGTGTAAAATGAAATTAAAAAAACCCTAGAACCACCAATCCGATCAAAATAACAGGTCTCATAATTTTCCTATTCGCAATGCAACTAAAAATATATAATTGCTACTAAAATAATTAATATTCAAATCCAGATCGAACTATAATCCATACATTCACTTATCTTCGTAATATCACTAAAATTACTATAATCTATGCACGCTATGTTTAGGAACCCACTGAAGATCGGTAGTCCTAGTGTAAAATAAAATTAGAAAAGAGAATTAAAAAAATATGTTAATAATGGGATACCAACGAAAACGATTTCAGCAGTGGGCCCAGTGGTGTCTGCCCTGCCCACGCCAATGCTGTAGGACGCAATGGCGCCAGGCAGCGCAACCTGGGTCAGCCATATTGAGAGCAACGCGAGGATCCTCAAGCGTCCGAGTGTCTCCATTCAGCTTTTTCTCTGCCGCCAGTCTGATCCCGCTGAAACCAAACAATTCACTGTGTCCCGTTCCCATTACAAGTCGGCTTAATACTATCGTCCATCCCGAGATAAGAGATCAGGCAGTTAAATATCAATCGTAGCCATCTCTTTCTCCGTTGCCCAATCTTCGACCTGCCTCAATTACCAAATACATTTCGAAACTCGGCTCGAGACCCATCAAAACGTAATTTAAACACGAAAAGCTGCAATTTTCGGGGTACAGAAAAGACTTTGAACGACCCTGCGTATAACATGCACGAGTTTAAAAATTTTTATCGGCAAGAATGCGTGTTACATATTGGACCAAGTCAAAAGCCAAGAGAGATTAGATTTGGTAAATATTTGGATTTTTATATGCTGCTATAGATTTATGGTACCGAAAATGGTACCTTCGTGACTATTTATTTTAAATATTTGGATTTTTATATGCTGCTATAGATTTACGGTATCGAAAATGGTACCTTCGTGACTATTTATTTTAAATATTTGGATTTTTATATGCTGCTATAGATTTTATGGTATCGAAAATGGTACCCTCGTGACTATTTATTTTAATTCCAATTTTTATTTTCTTCACGGTGGTCTGTTGCCTTTTACTTTGTGATTTATAAAGCATTTAACTCTCTGCACTCAGTCGCCATTTAATCAGATTTTAAAGATCGGTGTTAATTAACCCTTTGCACTCGGTGATTATTTTCGTCACAGAGAAATAGCAATTCAAAGACTTTCTGCTGTAAGGATACTTTATGGATAAGGATAAGGATTAAGGATAAAGACAGGATTCTGCTGTCGAGGATATTTTTGAACCGGTGAATAAGGAATCGGGTACAAATTAAAATTTAAAACTATTTTATTTCGAAATTCCATGCAATCTTAGGTTATTTTAGATTTGATATGTTAATTAACATGGGTCTTCGGAATTTGATTATACGGTGACTTAGGCTAGTTAATACATCAAATTTAAAATTACCCAACGATTCGTAGAATATCGAAATAAAATTATTTTACGTATTAATTTGCATACGATTCCTTATTTACTATTTTAAAAACATCGTCGACTTTATGAGAGAAATTACTTTTACTTTTATCTTTCTGTAACGAAAAACTCGCCGAGTGCAGAGGGTTAAAATCTATTTCAAAAGATACGTTCTCCATTTTCATTGAATTATGGTTATGCATGTAATTTGAGGATCGATTAGAACTTTGATTGATACGATGCATGTTTTTATTGGTAAAAATTGTGAAATTTTTATTCTGGAAGATTGTGCTTGTAGTTGAAGGGAGTGCTTCTGTGTGCACACGAATTGTCGACTCTAATTGAGACATAATCAACGTTCGCATGTTGGAACTGCGATAAGATTTGTTTTCATTAACGTCGGATTAATATCGAGTTCAAATTTGGGAGTGGATGGAATTGATTAATACTGCGAGTATAGGTTGAACGTTGAAAGGAAATCGCGGTAGTGTGAATCACTCCTCTGAGTTATGGTTGCAAATGCGAGATGTCGAGATAACGTTAGTTCCTTTGCTGATCGAGGCGATAAGGCATGTGTCATTGGCGAATAATATTTGTCAAATGCTCGTGGATGCATCTATTTTTTAAATATTTCACATTTTTATTATACTGTCTATTTTTCATGACGACAAAAATTAGCATTGTCTGATTTGAATATTATTTTCGATAATAGGAAATTTAATATATCGTATGTATTTAATAAATAAATAAATAAATTTGATTTAAATAAATAATAGTAATTGAAAATATATATTGAAAATAATTAAGTATATATATAATTTAATTTTCTGTGATACAGTCTAACTTTGAAGAAGAAAATTACTGAAATGAGAGAATGCAAAATGACAAAATATTCCTCAGAGAAATAAGTTAGAAACGTTGATAGACTTCACTGAGATTGAGAGCTTTCCAAAGCACTTAGAACGTCTGTTTTGAGATACTAAAAGCGTTTTCTTCCTTATTTGAGGAGTAAAATTCAACGTTCGGTCGTTTCTTGGAACTTTCATCGACAGAAGGAACTCCCTCTGACTTTCGAAAATTTTCGTGGCAGCAGTCGAAGGTTACAAGAGCACTTTCAGACAGGTGTTCACGGGTATCTGGAATGCGTCAGAGCAAGAATGCCTATTAGTTGTCTCGAGAACCACGCCTCGGCGTTTCTCGACGAGAAGAGAATGAATAAATCTGTAATAATAAACTACCGTCGCTTTCATAAATTTTTGAAAAACCCGCCAGACGTATACGTGAAACTATAATCCTCAAAAGTACTAAATAACAAATTGTCATTGCTGTCCATAATTTTTTTGAAAAATTTAATTTTTGTACTTGCGAAAATATAATACTTAAAAATATAAAATAATGAATTATCATTGCTTTCATAATTTTTTTGGAAAACTTAAAGTCCTTGAGTGATGACCTAATCAATAATGTTTGCATAATCTTTTGCAAAATTGAAGAATATGCATTGAATATTGAATCACTATGGTTTCCATAAATTTTTGGAAGAATGAAAAATAATAAAAAGAATGAACGGTGAACTGCCATAAGTTTCATGGTATCGTGAAAGAAATTGTTGTTCAAATATGTACTTAACGTGATTGATGAAAATTACTCATTGACTACAGATTAGGGTACTATATATAACTACATATTATTTTCTCCGTATGATAAGATACAATGTAATTTATCGAGTTAATTATAAGATTGTAAATTGAAAAGAAAGAGCGAAATAGCGAATAGAAATCTTATTTTTAATTAAGTTTGAAGTTACAAAGAATGTTTAATAGAATTAATCATTTAAAATATAATTTTGTTCTATTGGAATAATCGAAGACGTTTATAGGTATAATTAAATAGATATTATACGAACAACGAAGTTTCTTTGAGTAGGTAGACTTTAGCTTGGAAACCTAAAGCAGTTCACCCTCTTGTTCATCAGCCATAAGAGCACACCCTCTGAAACGGATTTACACACACAGTCACGGGTACCATTTAGTCACACTAATCCCTGGAATCCGTATTTCTCAAACGTCACAGATTTTCTCTCTTTCTGTTCCCAATGTTTATCTTATTACCTTAAAATGAAATAATAATTTTTATTTATACTAAGTTATAATTATACTAATAATATAGTATAAATAATAATTTTAAATAATAATTTGAAGCAATAAAATAAAATAGTGTCATTATTATTATTATTATAAATAGAAAACAGTGAAATAAAATATAATAAAAAGAGAAAGGCTATAATAGAATATATAATATGTAATACCATTATTAAAAAAATAGTACCATAATATTACTATCATTAGTAACATTTAGTACCATTATTAGCACTATTATACATGGGAAACAATGGAAATAAAATACAATTGAAAAAGAAAGGCTATAACAAAATAAATAATAGAATATATAATACTAATAATATAGTATAAATAATAATTTTAAATAATAATTCAAGGCGATAAAATATTATTGTTACCATTATACATATAAAACAATGAAAATGAAATACACCAAAAAGAGAAAGATCATAATAAAATATAGAATATATGATATAATCCATGCATTTTTCATAAATATATTCCTCCACGAAAAAGCGTAGTTATCGAGCATGAACATTCTCACAGCAAGGCAGAACATTATCGCGATTCGGTATTGTAATCCGATCACGTTACGGTCTGCTTACGCAAAATTATTTCAGACCAACGTCACGCGATTTTCATCCTTCCTTTTCCTCTCGAGAACGCCCCAACACAGCACATTTACCACGTTACTACCGTCGATATTCCATTGCTAAATCGACCGATTTGAGAATAAAACCGAATAAAACCGAGAATAAAACAGAACTCCAAAACCAAAACACAAAAATCTCAGTAATACCCTCCAATCTACATCCAAAATCTTAAAAAGAAAATAAAAAATCCATATACACATAAATATCACCAAAATCTCTCTAATACTCGAATCGACTATATCTAAAACCATAAAACAGAATTTTTTAATTCATTTGTACCTAAATATCTCTGAAAATTAAGTTAGTAAATTAGTTAGTAGTTTAGTAGATTAGTTAGTAGTTAGTAGATTATCTATTAAGTTGGTTAGATTATAGTAGATTATATAGATTATCGATTAGGTTAAGTATGAGTACGATAAGTTGTGGGTGTAGGGATGAGTGTGTCAACAAAATCTGTAAGACCAAGTTCTAGGCAGTAGATGCTGAAATATATAATATTATATATACTTTATTATATATAAAGTTTATATAAATAATATATATATAAATAAACGTTCACTGCACAAATCGATTAACTCCACTTTTTGAAAAATCTCAAATATAAAAAGTTAAGACTATACCAAGTGCTCTGACACTTAAATTTAAGATTTTTCAGAAAGTGGAATTAATCGATTTATGCAGTGAACGGCTCATATATACCTAAATATCACCAAAACCCCTCAAATATTCCAATCACTTGAATCCAAAGCATCCAAACAAATTTTTAAATCCACGTAATAATATATCTAAAAATTACTAACTGAAAAAAATGATAAAGTAGCCTACATATCGAACAATGGACACTGGAATCAACAGAAAAATCCAAATCCCTCTAAAGTCCTCGATCTTCCCACCAGATTTTTATTATTACCTTCAGATTTTCTCAAGATCGATCTCGTCTCGAATATTCACTAGTAAATTCCCCTAGGATCCTCAGACTCCGCTCTCCCTCATCCCTATCACGTTCGACACTGCCAGCCACGGAGCAGCGAAACGATAATGACGAAACGACGTGGAGCCTCGGCAATAATTTTCCATCAACTGATCGCTGCGGACGTCTGTCAAAGGGAGGAAAGAACAAAAACCTCGGTGGAAGATATCTGCCACGCTATCAACGACGATTAAGCCTAATCGAGGACGCACGGCCATCCAGAAACCGCGCCTAGCTTCCTACGTCCTCTGATTCATCGTCTTAATCCCATCGCTGTTCCAGCTGCCACGAGTCGTCAAGAAGAAATTAATTACCCTCTAACTGTCACCGTGACCCGTGCAGAGGAACATCTGGCGATTGTGGCTTTCTCTGCAACGCCTCTAACGATCTCGCGGGACAATCGATCGGTGTCATCGATCAGCAGGAGCTCTTTCTGGGCCCAGAACGTGATCGACCCACTGTGCCACTTTTGGCTGACTTGGATGTTTTTGACAATTTTCTGGAGTCTTCCCGCGAAGACGGTGAATTTTTACGACGAGTAGAATTTTGACAGCTTTTGAGGATTTTTTGGACGAAGATGCTGAATGAAAATTGTGGATTTTCAAATTGAGGTGATTTTTGAGGGTTCTATATTGGTGGTAGATATAGTATAACGTGTGATAAATTTTAGCAATAAATGTACCAAACCTGTAAAAATATTTCTGATTCTTTGTCTCTGAAATTAACCAAAATATTAATGACAGGTGTCATTGACAGAATTTTTGTATTATTTCTGTCTATTTAGACACGTATTACAAGTCTAGTGTCAAGTAGTAATTAATTATGCAATAAATATTAAATAAAAATTGAGAAATATTATGTAAAATATGATATTATAATAATATATTATTTTTGTCTTTTTGATTTCAAGAAAATTATGCTTTTTACCACACAAAAGTTATACTTGGGTTCAATGTAATATAAATTCCTGATGACCTATTCCTTCTGGACAAATAATAAAATAAACTATCCTCTTGACACACTAAACGTCACCAATCCAAAATTGCCAGGACTCGCTCACGATACGAGGATATCGTTCAATATTTATCTCACTCGAATGGTAACTCAAAAACACCAATTTTCAGCGTCGTCTAACCAGATCACAAGAATTCCCTAGCCAATTTAAATCTGAAACCGTCTCGATCTCGAGATATCGATCACTATTCCGTGACGAGTAAACGTACACTGAGAGAAGATCGAGTATCTCGACCAGGTGGATGCTGCAGATTTTCGTCGATATCCGCCGATTGCGTGGCGACCTCGCGCTTTCACTTTTCGACACTGATCCCCTGAGAGCAAGTATTATGCATACTCTTCGAACAGGTGAGATTCCGTCACTGGCCATTCGTTTCGTAATAAAAGATCCCATTGATCCGATGTGGAACAAAGAGATCACTCATCGATATCATTCATTGACGAAATATTGGGTATTTTAAAGAATAGCAATGATGACAGCTGTCATGGATCAATTCTAGTTTGAAATAATCCTATTCCTAGTTTAGAGAAATTCTTTAAATACGAAAAGGGGAATTTAACCCTTCGTGCTCGACGATTTTTGGGCTAAAGAAGGGTACGAGATGAAAAATTTTCTGCTATAAAGCTGATGATATTTCTTGAGCAGTAAATAAGAAATCGTGTAATAATTGACACGTAGAATTATCTAATTTCGATACCTTGCATGCTGTTACATTATTTTAAATTTGGTATATTAATTAAAAAGGGTTAAATGTTTCAAAGAATGGCTTGCAGAGAGTGGTTGTAAGCGTCAGAGATAAGGGGAGTGAGGAGTCTAGGGACTCTAGGATTTGGGTAAACTTGGCCCAATGTGTGCTTCGTGTGCTTGGGTAAATTGTGTAGACCAAATGGGAGAGATTGTAGAATAGAAAGAGGGTTTAGGGTTGTTAATACACGTGGTGTATTCTACAACATTGTGTAAAAGGTGACGTTGTATTTTTGATGTAAAATAGAAATTATTTCCTTGTAAATGAATAATATCTTTAATAATATATATACCTCAGCTTGATCTATAAGATATCACCATTTTATTTTTTGTTTTTGGTAAAATGGTATTAATATGTTACATAGATAAAATTAAAGAACGAATATTATATAAATATAAGATTAATATTAAGTAATTAATTTAATAATTAATTTACAGAGAGCAGGGATTCTGTTTTGTATTAAAAAATTATAGAACAATGTCTACTATAAAAATTTTAAACTATTTACTAATCAATAAATCAATAACTATACTGATATAATATTATATTACTAATAGTACTATAGTTATAATCTGTAATATATAATAATACTATAATACTATACTTACTAATCAACTACAAGCTCTCAAAACTTCTACAAAATATTAATAAAATCCTCCTTCCAAAAATTAAGAAAAAATTTATTTTATAAGTTACTATACTTGCTACATATAAATATTTTCGTTTGAAGGATTCCTTTTTGGAAAGATACGACAAAATTATGTTTCAACCAGACACTTGCAACGTTCAACTACTATACTTACTAATATAATACTATATTACTAATAATACTATACTTATAATATGTAATATACAATAATACTATACTATATTACTAATAATACTATAATACTATACTTACTAATCAACCAGTACAAGCTCTCAAAACATCTACAAGATACTAATAAAATTCTCCTTCCAAAAATTAAGAAAGAATTTATTTTTTAAGTTACCATACTTGCTATACCTATATATTTTCCTTTTTAGGATTCCTTTTCGGAAAGATACAACAAGGTTACGTTTCAACCAGACACTTGCAAGATACGAACGAACGTCTCAGACGATTTTATCCGAGTTCTTTGTCACATTAGTGGGAACAAATAGGTTAGACCTTCTGGAAAGATACGTGTGGCAGAAAGTGACCGAAGTGTAGGCCCGAGAGGCGACAATCACAGTGAGTCATGTAATCCGTAGTAAATGCGACTCTGTTTCGAAGGTTGGCTGTGGAAACAATGATTCGAGTCGTTAGAACATTCATAATGTTTTCATGAACACGACCGGGTGGAAACATCACGTGCAATGAGACAAAGAAACGAGCACTCGAGCTTGAATTTCATTTGAAAAAAGAAAAAAGAAAAGAACGACACTGGTCTCGAGTAATTAAAAATATTTTTACCAAGGTGAATAAAATATTGGAAAAATAGAAAATTCGATGTTAGGTACTTCCAAAAGTACACCAACCCTTTCCCTCGTATCAACTTCTCTCGTGCCACTATGCAAACAGAATGAAACAAAGAAACGAGCACTCGAGCTTGAATTTCATTTGAAAAAAGAAAAAAGAAAAGAACGACACTGGTCTCGAGTAATTAAAAATATTTTTACCAAGCTGAATAAAATATTGGAAAAATAGAAAATTCGATGTTAGGTACTTCCAAAAGTATACTAACCCTTTCCCTCGTATGAATTTCTCTCGTGTCACTATGCAAACAGAACCCACTGAAGGACCAAAACTGTGTGGCCAGTATTATTTGGAAGAAGATAAGTGCACTCTCTGCTCGCAACTCACCAGGTACGATAAAGCTCAGTCTTATCGCGAGACATGAGAACATGCAAATACCAAACTGCTCGGATATTAGTTGTACACGGAATGTTTCCCGGACTGACAGCATAGAGCCTCGTTTCAGCGGAAGAATGCACATTAAGATTTCGTCATTCGCTGATAGGGGTTACGCAAGTACTCCTTGCGATTGTTGATAAAGAGTCGGGACCAATAAACACAATCGAATGTTTTATTTACTTGACATTGACTGCTACTCGTTGGCAAGTGGAAGTGGAAGTACTGGGTTAATCGATCGTAAGCGAAAGTACTTTCGACCAAAGTACTCGCAAAGTACTTTTCCCGGGTCAATTTTGTTACAGTGCTAAAGATGGTACAGTGCTATAGTACACTAAAGTACACTAAGGTATAGTTCACTAAATAAAATAAAGTACAGGTAATCCTTCTATAACACGGTAGATAGGTTCCTAGAGAATGCAGTGTCGTGTGAAACCGTGTTGTACGAGACCCAGAGCGGGTACAAAAGGGGGGTTACGTTCCGAAAACTTATTAAAAAGAAATTTTTGTTCATTCTATTAAAAATATAAATGTACACGAAATAGAACAATAACAAAAATATTGTAGGATACCAAAAGAAATCGCGAGTCGGCTATTGCCAACCAAAATAAATTGAAAACCGATCGATATCTTCTAGAAGCAAATCGAAAAGGTATTCCATATAACAAAATTAAGTTGCCTGACTCCTCTACGAGGAGGTGAAGCGTAGGTTAAGGAAAGCATAAAAGCGTGGTCCTTGACAACCAAAACAGAGTCCTTTGAAATCGGTTGTGACCAGCACAAGTGTAAGTCGCTTGGTATTGAAAGGAGAGTTTTAAAAGAGTGCGTGTTTGTGTGTTTTCGTTATCTCGGTTTTCTTTCCCTGAGTTAAATCAGTTTACGAGTTTTGAGTTTGTGTTACTGTGTTCTTCTTCTTTCGTGAATTTTCGGTGTCTCAAGACCAGTTCTGCCATCCTACAATATTATTTTAATTTAACGCAACTTTAATTTAATAAATTTCTTCGTCGCCATTGCTCGTGTAGAAGTACAGTGTTGTACGAAGGTTTCTGCAATTTTCTTATCGCGTTAGAGCGAAACCGTGTTATAGGATGCCGTGTTGTAGGAGGGTTCCCGCAATTTATGAATCGTGTTATAGTGAAACTGTGTTATAGGAGGGTTCCCGCAATTTATGAATCGTGTTATAGTGAAACCGTGTTATAGGAGGGTTCCCGCAATTTATGAATCGTGTTATAGTGAAACCGTGTTATAGGAGGGTTCCCGTAATTTATGAATCGTGTTATAGTGAAACCGTGTTATAGGATGCCGTGTTGTAGGAGGGTTACCTGTACACTAAAGTAAAGTAGAGTACTTGTCGGCACAAAAGTATTTTCGGCTTCGATGGGATCGAAAGTACTTAGCAAATGAAAAAGTATTAAAGTACACTAAAGTGTCGGAGTACTTGTTGACACAAAA